GGTTGACAAAGCATCTGTATTTTGATTCTTAATCGAAGATTAATGTAAATGTCTATGGGCTACAGCATCCACTTACCACCAGGTGAACTGTCCTCGTCACTCCATTCTATCAAAAAAAAATTATGATCTATTTTTAATGAATACCACTGATGATTACAGACAAACGAGTAAGAAGAACTGGCCACGGCTAACGAGTCGTTAGAAGTAAGTGTCTTATCATACAAATTGTGCTTATTAAGGATCGGTAGCTTAGTGTCTAGCATGTAGGTGCAACGTTGCGGAACCGCAGGTTGAAATCCTGTACAGAACAAATGTTTGTATAGTCGGTTTAACAATCAAATACTAGTTTCGGGTCTCAATGTTAGTCCATATACTAAGTAATGTATATACGAAATGTGTTACAATGAGCATTTATCCTATACTTAAATAATGGTGCCGGTAAAGATCAAAGCCAAGAAATTTAAGACCCGCTTCTCGCTACCATACTGTTACACCTTATTAAAGTCCATCGCTGAACATAGGCCTCCCCCATAGATTACTTCATAGGAGGGTTGTTTGCCATAGTTGCCACGCTTGGCTTGCGGGTTGGCAACTTCTTAGGAAGACGCTGCTGCCTATATCCTGATTTGTTTCCCTCTGTCGCCTCTTACAACACCCACCGGATAATATGAGGTAGTGGATATTCCTACACCGCCACTACACGGTAAACTTGCTACCATGGTGATAGTAAAAAGTAAAGGACCATCTTTTATATTATGTCACACTGCTGGGTCGGCCAGGCCTCGTCTCCTTTCTGAGAGGGTTTTAGAGCAAAGAATAGTTCGCTTCTTCAAGGTCTATTGATAGACACTAAGTATTTTTATTATTATTGTTTCTAAGACATACAGATTTCTTTACGATGTTTTTTTTTTCACGAAACTATGAAATCTTTGTAGCGTTGCCTATTATTGCCTATCACCTCACGGGAAGAAATGGTGCAATGGATTATCCTATGCCACCATCACAAGTTGCAGTGTGGCAGTGGCCACATTGCAACACTGCAACTGTAGCAGTGGTAGCATAAAAAGATTTAGTATTGTAGTTTAAAGGCGCTTACTGCTACAATTATCTATTAAAGCATATAAAAGTATAGTCCCGAACACAGGCCTTCCCCGATTGCCACATAGACAGAATTTGCCATAGTTGTCACGCTTGGCTGCCGTGTTGGCAACAGCAGGTTTTAATTATTTTGAGTTGTCATCAGCAAGATGTTACTGTCCATCTTCTTTTTTAGTTTCCCTCTGTCGCCTCTTACGACACCCACGGGATGATATGTGGTAGTGGATATTCTTACACCGCCACTACACCGTGGGTACTTACTGCTTATTAATGTTTAATATTTAACAAATACAATAAACAATAAATAAAATATCTTCTTATAACTACAATATAAATTATTAAGAATATCTCAAAAGCTATTGGTCAGACCTTGATCAAATTTATATGGGACCACATGTGAAGCACCTGCTTTCAAATAAAGAATCATCGAAATCGGTTCACCTAATAAAAAGTTATAAGTTAACACACATTAAAAATAAGAAAAAAAACATACAGTCGAATTGAGTAGCGGCTCCTTTTTGAAGTCTTTAGAAAAACGACTCTAAAAAGGAAATCATAGTCGAAAGAATCAAGTTATGTTTGAAACAAAGCATAAATTAGGTTTAGAGTAGCCAAGCACCGCCTGTGAAGTCCAGCTGCGACTGTTGTTACGGCCAAACATGAGGGCGATGACTAACAAAAACTATTATCATTCCAGGTCGCCGCACTTCTGGAGATGAATCAGCAACGTACTCCAAAGTAGTGAACGTAATTTATCGTGAGACAGATCTGATATTATGCTCATTACTTTGGATATGTTGTATGTAAACTCGACAATAGAAGAACAAGATCGCAGTTGAGGGTAGAAAGAAAAAACAGAAGAAATATAATGGAAGTGTTCGAGAGCGTCATACTAATCCTATAATTTAACTGACTTTACTTGCATGCGTCACTATTTCTTGCTCATATGTACGAGGGCGACACTGAGTTTAGAACTGGCCACTTGTAAACGAGATAATAAAAATTATAACTTGCTAGTTTGTTCAATTTTGGATTTTTTAAGAACTTTCAGTGTCACCTTCGTAATTCGTATATTGGTTTCCTTAGTGATATTGGTTTTCAAAAACGGCTCTAATGATTTGAAAGAAATTTTGAAATCAGAATGTTTTACTTTCTAAGATTATTTTTTTCAAACGCCGGGCAAAGCTTGGTCACCCAGGTACCATGTTTAGGTTACCATTTTTATGCGCAAATACACCAACGCTACTCAATTTTAAGATGCCGTTAAGTCTCGCGCTGTCTCTTTCACTTTAAGTCAAAGTGACTGTGACACCACGAGACTTAACGACATCTTAAAACTGAGTAGCGTTTGACATCTATTGCTGTCTCTATCACTTTAAGTCAAAGTGAATGTGACACCACGAGACTTAACGACATCTTAAAACTGAGTAGCATTTGACATCTATTGCTGTCTCTATCACTTTAAGTCAAAGTGAATGTGACACCACGAGACTTAACGACATCTTAACACTCAGTAGCGTTTGAGTATTCGGCCATAAGAGCTCTACGTAAAACGCGAGCTACCCGGGTTCGTTTTGAGCCGTTACAGTTATCGTTATAGCTTCAAACTCCACTGCAGGATATAGGCATCCCCTATAGGGGATATTTGCCGTAATAAGGGCAAACGCAGTTTTTTAAATTTGTGATTAAGAAGACGCTGCTGCTCACTTGGTTTGTTTCCTCCTGTCGCCTCCTAAGACACCCACGGGACCATACGGGGTAGTGGATATTATTACACTGCCGCTACATGGTGAAATACCCGCAGGCACCAATGAATTTTTTTTATAGAATTAGGGTGACAAACGAGCACACAGTCCACCTGATAGCAAGTGGTTACTACGGCAATTAGACATCTACATCTATCCTCGATTACGTGTGGATTGCGTTGTCACCCGTGAGGACTAAGATGGAATGCCTCGTTTCCAGTAAAAAGAGTCTTCGGTTCTCGACACTCACCATACGAAACACAGCAGCGTTATGCTGCTATTTTACGCTGGTATTCTGTGAGAGCGGTCCTTCCCCGGTCGAGCCGACCCATTCGTGCTACAACTATAGCAGTAATATAGCTGCAGCATGGTTCTACTACGTTATAATTGTTAGTTGCAATTTTAAGTACTAATTTACCACGTGCTTAGTAGTGAAGGAGAAAATTTTGAGAAGACCTGCTTGTCTGAGAAATTAAAAAATATTTCGAAGGCATCTGAAAACCACCAACACGCATTGGGGCAGCTCGGCGGATATTTCCTTGTCCTTAATCCCTCTTAGAAATGAGAGGCGGCGTTTGTCCAACAGTACAAGTACAACAAAAGTAAAGACTGTAATTTTATTTTAATAAACACTCACTAACTTCAAAGAGGAGGGTTTTATATTCTTTATTGTACTAAAAGTACAAACGGCGGACTTAATGCCATTTTCCATTTTCTACCAGCCAACCGAAAAGTTAGTATAGGGAAAATAAATCAGGTGATCATGTGAACAGTTCGTTTGTCATTTGAGTTTTATAAAAAGAAGTAATCTATTTAAATAATACTGATTTTTAAACAAATATATTACTGATTTATATTACTGATTTTTAAGCAATACTAATACCTAGATAAATAAAGATGTAAATGATGTCCAAACGCATTGTCATCGCTTATAGTAATATACTATTTAGAGTCCACTGTCGGCAGAGCCTCTTCTGGATTGGAGAATTTACCACAATTACCACAATTGCCACATTTTACCACATTTTGATTGGTGATCGCAAAGTGGTCTCGCATTTTTGACGAGTTAATCTTGCGAAATGCTTATACCAACATTTAAAGGAAGCCATAAATTTTTTTGACGTTTTTCATATTCAGAAATAAACTAATGTATTTTACATTGTCACTACAAGATAAATGTAGGCTTTATTGTGTACAACTTACCTATGAGGCTTGCAAAGGGTCTACATTAGTTTTTTTTTTTTGCTTTCAATATTTGTTGGAAACTCTTTCGGTTTTTGTAAGAAACGTGGTTCTCTACAATCGGGTTTAGTACGACTACCTTTTCATAAAGGTATCTACGAGGAGCAGTAGGACGTTTTCATTCTATATTGTTGGTTTCTCATATTTGTGTAGCAATCTTCGTACCGTAAAGTTAAATTTTGGCAAGGCAAATGGAATTATTACATATTTTTGATAAATTAGTCAACTGAATTTATACACATTTATACACATGGTTGCGGACTGCGCTTAGTTGAAATTTCGGTCAGAACTAATATTTATATCGTAACAAATTTTTTTTTTATCAAATGCATCGGATAAAATGTTTAAGATATAATATTGCAGATTGGTGTCATACACAAGGGTTGTCCCCCGCAACATTCTAATTGTGTTATTCTAGTGGGAATCGTTTTGCTTATTATTAATCGTTTAACATTTGGCTTTACGTACGATGAATTTTGTAATTATATTAATATCGATTATAAGCTGATGTCTTTTTTATATTTCAATCTATATTACAAAAAAATATCACTATGAAAAAATATTACGTAGTTCTAGACTGATTTCCACCGACAAATTATTTTATTCCACCAATTTACACATTACTGCCTCGAAAATAACAATATATGTTTTTCGACGAAAATATTAACTTCGATGTATTGTTATTTGTTAGTCCTTAGTATGGAGATGTGACGACTTATATCTATCATTATATTGATCCTATCATTATATTGACTCCCTTGCCTTGCAAACCTGGCCATATCAATATCAATGAGTACAATGCTCTTAGCAAATAGTGGACACCTACTCCTTGATAGCGGTACCTTAAGCACAAAAAGAGCGACATCATCTTATGAATACCTAGTTCTTTTTCAATATTATAAGTAAACGACTTACCAGTAATCCTACGAGGAGAACTAAAGCTATAACACCAATCGTGCTAACAGCAATGGCGATAGCTGCCCCGGATCCGGCTTCGTCTGTCAGTACTTGAGAAGATGTTTCCGTGGTCACATCATCAGCGTAGCTCGTCAAATCTTCTAACTCATTAACAGATTTTGTTGTTATCTCAGTTGTTGTGTAAACAGTTGTTTCCACTTTACGGTCTGTTGTAACGATGATTTCTTCATGTTCTTTGATTTCAGGTAAAGTAGTTTGTGTAGTAGTTGTTATTGGTACAGTTGTTGATTCAGTTTTCATTGTCGTCGTGATAGTGGTTGTGGGAGTATCATATGTAGAAGTTTTAGAAATAGTGTCTTGTGAAATAACTTCGTTACTGTCACTATTTTCTTCTGAACTACTGTCCGTTTGTTTTTCTGCAAAAGGTGTCACTGTTTCGTGATATTCTGAATTTTGTTTAATTTCTTCTGTCGTTGCTTCTGTTTCTATTAACGTTGCAGGTGTAGTGTCAACCAGAGTCGTTTCTTGGTAGTCTGTAGTGGATTCAATTGTAGGTATTAAAGTAGTCGTTCGAGGTGTAGTTATTTCCTCAGTAGTACTTTGCTCGATAGTTTGCGATTGTTGTTGCGTGGCAATCTCTAAAGTTTGCGAGGATATTTCTAACTGTGGGGTAGTATCTATTGGTACACTAGTTGTGTGTTTGATCTTAGGTATTAAAGTAGTCGTTTGAGGTGTAGTTATTTGCTCAGTAGTACTTTGCTCGATAGTTTGCGATAGTTGTTGCGTGGCATTCTCTAAAGTTTGCGAGGATATTTCTAACTGTGGGGTAGTATCTATAGGTACACTGGTTGTTTCTTTGATCTCTTCAGTTGTCGTCAAAAATGTTGGCCTGTATGTGGTAATAGGATTGTTTTCAAACGTAGTTGCTATAGTTCTGGTAGGTATCACTGGATGCCAATCCTCATTTGATATTGGTGTTTGAGTTTCTGTTATATCTTCAGTAGGAACATAGGAGAACCTAATAGTTGTGATTTCGTAATCAGTGGTAGTTTCAGCTTTGGGTTGTTCAGTGACGATTTCGTTATTTTCATCGGTAGGCGTCGTAACTCCCGATGGTAGTTTCGTTATCGATTCGAAACCAGTTGACTTTGTTGTATCAACTGGTTGAATGGTTTCTTCTTCAGTCTGTCTCATCTCTTCTGTAGTTGTAATATCTTTATCATACATTGCCAAAATCCAAGATGGTGTTGTTTGGTGGTCTTTAACTATTCCCGTAGAAGCTTCTGTTATATTTTGCGATAGATGTATAGTTTCAGAAGGCTTAAGATTACCTTGTATCAATATGTTGCTTTCAGCTGGTAGTCGCTCAGATTTTGTTACTGTTTCATAATTTACTTCAACATTTGATGCAACTGGCTTCCAAGGTAATTTATTTTGGTCAATATCAGTAATATTCTTTGAAATTATATCATTACTAAGGGCACTAACCGTAGAAGATGTTGTTGTTGTTTTTGTCGAGGCCGTGGTTGTTTCTCTTTTGTCTGAAAGTCATAAATATTTTAAATAGTAACTGTTATTTAAATGACAAATTATCTAAAGATTTTTAGTGATTATTATTGATCTAAACGCATCTTAATTTTATTTTCATTTATAAATGTGATTATGTTATGATTTAATATGTAAATGTTCGATTTTTATTAAAGCAGGAAAAAATGATAAATAACGTTCTATTTATATTTATGTAAACACGAAGCAATATATTGCTTATATGCGTACAGACTTACCTAAAACTTCACCGACTTTCTGCAGTTCATTTTCATCGACGCTTTTCTGACTCGATCCGCTAACATTCACTACTGAACTAGACAATGGCGGTGGACTCCTTAAGCTAGCCAGTGCCCAAGCAGTCATTGTCGGAGGTATTTCCAAGTCACTTACGCTTGTTTCGAACTCCGTCGATGGCATAGCAGTTGTAATCTTCATCGAACCCCTTTTCCACAATGAAGGTATTGTATTGTCAGATATTATCTGTGAGTGGACTACTTTCTTAACGCCACCTACGTCGCTTTGTAACACTGGGTCAATATCCGACGGCACAGTTGTCAAAATTGTTTTTTGGTGTGATGATGGACGGCTTGTAGTCGAAAACTTATCTTTGATATTGAAATGTTCTGCATATATCGTTGTTGGATAAGTTGTCTTGTAAGCTTTAGTAACATTTCTTCTAGGAGACATCCATATAGGCTTAACTTTTGGTGTGGTGTAATAAAACTTCCTTGTTAAAGGTCTCTGTCCCAAATTAAGCGTTTGGTCGGTTTGCTGAGTAACGCTATTAGGAGATTCTTTGGTACCTGTTAAATTTAACCGTTTCGAGTAACTTCGGTTTCTCGTAAAGCTACTTGAGTTCACTTTGATTGGTCGATCAGTAAATCGTATTGAAGTTTGAGTAGAAATTGGAATCCCTGATTTAAGCATTGGTGTTATAGTATTATATGAATTTGGAGTGACACTCAAAAGCGGTTGTAATGTGGAAAAAGAACCAGGTAATAAGTCTGAAAAGACTGGTTTAGTTGGAACTTGCGCTATGGTAGGTTGTGTAGCTTTGAAAGATGCATCCTGCACTTGTTGAGACGTACCTCTTGCCATCGTTTCTAGAGGCAATGTTTCATTTTCACAATCATCGTCGCTAGAGTGGTTGATATTGTATGTCTCTGTTGATAGCACCGACATTTCATAGTAAATACTAGTACCATGAACATCAGATAATTCTCTGTTGGCCGAACCAGCCTGGTCATTATCAAGGACGCGAATTTCTTTGGTATTTTTAATTATTACCATTGATTTGTTATTTGGTGACCCATTGCTAAATTTCTCGATGCCCACGTTTTTTTTAATAATGTTTTGAGGACTACTATCATTTAAATGAGATTGGCCCTTCATGGAGGCTAGATTTTTCATTATACCAGTGGATATTTCGTGGTATTTTTGATCGAAGAAATTATTCTTTGGAGTTGTAAGATCACTATCAAAATCGAAGAAACTTTGCGACTTATAAGGATCGTCGTTTTTACTTTCTTTTGATCTGTAGTTATCTTTAGAAAAGTAACTTGAGTATTTTTCAAAAGACGGCGTACTGGTATCGTCCTTAACTTGATTGTGCTTATTATTTTTATAATCATTATCGTGTATATTAAATAAGTTGCTCCCATAGAATTTGCTTGAGGTGTATTTCTTAAAACTATCAATGTTTTCTTTTTCTTCTTCCTCCTCTTCTTCCTTTTCATCCTTATCGTCATCTTCCTTTTCATCCTTTTCGTCGTTTTCCTCATCTTCCTTTTCATCCTTTTCGATCTTTTTCTCATCTTCATCGTCTTCCTCTTCTTCTTCTTCTTCCTCCTCTTCCCTCTCCTTATCATTGTCTTTTGATCTCTGATTCTCTTTCTCAGCTTTAAATAACATAGTCGCAGAAGTACTGGTACTTGAAGCTAAATCTGGTGCTTTAGTCTTGTAAGTTCGCATACTGTCTATTTGTGACGAGTTCTTGCTATCAGGTTTAGGAGTTACAATTACTAAACTAGCAGGTTCGGTGGATGACCTAATCCTCCTTAATGTGCTTTCTGTACTAGATCTTAATTGGGAATGGAATTTTACCCTTCCTCTATCTTTATATTTAGCATTCTTTTCAGTGTGTTCTTCAGAAGCGGATTCTTTAGGGTGTAACTCATTCAGAGCTACATCTGGTGTCTTATTATTAACGGACCATGTACTATTCATTCGGTTGTATTTGGTGGTATTTTCGTCTGTTATTGTCGTTCGGTTCGTTTCGTGTGGCAAAGCGCTGCCATTAACTGTTGTGCTCGTCAAAAGTAGTATATTTACTACTACTGCCGCACCTGAAATACGATTTAACTTTTATTATTACATAATTTGATTTTTTCAAGGTAAAGTTACTGTTAAATGTACATTAATACATAATAATACCAACCAAATTTATTGAATAAACATTTAAAATATTTTATTATGTAATCTCTTTACTCGGCAATAGGTTATTGAATAATAAAGAAAGAGTCGGATATCGCAAATTTATAATGTTTTATAGTTTTATAATTTCATTACTCTTTCAAATATCTATACATTTGATAATATCAAGCCTTACTAGTGAAAGGGTGAGCATGGACAAATTAACATTGTCCAACAAATAATGTGAATGATGTGTGAAATATTTTTATCTATGTATCTGCATTTGTTTGAATATTTATGATTTTATTTATAATCTCACTATATTTATGGCTATTTTTTTCTCTCTTTATTTGGGGATAACACACAATTGTACAATATAATCCTACTATTAAACACAACACTATATTTAAGCTTAATAGCCAAACAATCAACACCGTTATCCACATATTACTATTGGGTCAGTGTACTAAACAATTAAAGTTAAAATTTTAATGTCCTATTAAAACGACCCGTTAATACATGGAAAAACAAACTGATAGGCATGTGCACGTACATAGCTGATACATAGATGTAAATAATTAAATTAAACATAAATAAACAATTACAATAAGTTGCATCTGATCCAGATATAACCTCATACACAGCTCTTTTAAATTTGGAAGAAGTTAATCCAAAAATATCTATGTCATTAAATTTGTTGCTGTATAATTCCATTATAAGATTTAAAGGTGCACGCGCACCGACATTTGTTCTAATTCAAATTTTCTAATTGAAAGAAAATTTGATGTGAATGAAGCTCACGTACACGCTTCGAGCGACTGGGTATACGAATGTATATTTCATTGGTGAGTTCATTACAATCAAATTTGTTATGGCAGTTATTGTAAAGCAAAGTTTGGTATTCTTCTTGATTCAATGGCTATCATTTATAAATAGGCTATGCGAATGTGTATCGGTGTAGCAACTCTAGTCGGAATCGTAATGACTTCATTTTGACGTTTGCCTATACCTAACAATTGATTAAAAAGTTGATTCAAATTTAACACTAATCGTTAATAATATTATGTCAAAGAATATATACAATACGCGAAATTATGTCTCGAATAATATGACTCGAAAAAACAAAAATGATCTCAATAAGTAAAGTTATTCAGAAATTATAGTCTGTTCTGTTCGCTAAGATAGTGTCGGTACACCCGGAGGCGCACTTATTATTTTGTTTCTATTTTTAAATAATTTTTTTTACTGTGTTCGTTAAATTTTTTTTATATTCTAAGAATAAAATAGAATACTATATTATTTTTATGGTTATTGTAATAAAAACCGAATATAATTATAATAAACACAAGTTAGGTAGAAAAGAACCTTTCACTACTTTTCTAAAATGCAAAATTCTCCTACTGGTGTACGCCGCACGCAGCGACCTTTGATGACGCGGCGGCGCCTTTGGCGTGATTCAAAGACGATCGTATCTAAGCAAACAGACTATATACGGTCAGAGTATTTTGCGTTTAGCGTAAACAAGGTTATACCGCCATCTATCAGAAGTAATTTACTGTGTCGCAAAATAAACACAAGTAATTTAATTTTATAACCATTTTTATAATAGCTTTTAATGTTTCATCTCTCCTAATTTTTGAAAGTATTCCGCAGAATTGAACAATTCGCGATACGCCATTTTTAATGATTTGGAGGATAATTTATAACTATAACTTCAGTCTGTTAATTTTGTCAAAAATACGAAAGCACCTATCAATTAATATCGCGACAGTAGGTATAAATGTTAAACCTTTGGGTCACCCCAAAGATCGATTATTTATATAATTTATAAATTAGGCACTAAGTTCATAATATGGGGGCTAAATTATCGGTAAAATTCTTATAAGCAACAAAGGAAGTAGTCTATCTAGTCCGTACGTACTATTTCATGCTTGAAAGTTGAAATAAATACCGTACCTAAGTATATTCTCACCGGAGATTCCATGTCTTGCTTTATTTAATTATTCATTGTGTAACTTGAAACAGTCTTTTGCTCTCCTTTAACAGCGACATTCGATATGGCTGTAACTGAAACAAAGAAACAATCGTTTTTAGTATAATATACTGCATGGTCAATTTATTCAAGAAGTTCAAAACGATAACTTGTGCTCATTGATTTCTCGGAAACAGTTCAACCTATTTAAATCGTTTTTTTTTTAAATTAAATAGACTATTTGTAAAAAAAAAAACACACACACTTCATGATAAGTGGGTGCTGTCGCCAATAAACATCTACATTTATTCTCAATTAAGAATCGAAATGCAGATGCGTTGTCACCAGTGAGGACTAAGATGGAATGCCTCGTTTCCAGTAAAAAGGGTCTCCGGTTCTCTACACTCACCATACGAAACACAGCAGTGTTAAGCTGCTATTTTACGCTGGTATTCTGTGAGAGCGTGGTCCTAACCCGGTCGAGCCGACCCATTCGTGCTGCAGCATGGTTGCCAGCATTACTTACATAGGAAATTGCTAAATTCATCAAGCCAGTCATTAGGGTCACAATTACCAGACAACCGATTTAAATGATTTTTTTTAAAATTAAATAGGCTTTTAGGGCTTTTTGTCATACAAATTTGAAGAAAAAATTTTTGTCCCTATGGGTGGCCAAATAAAGGATGAAGTTTTTAATGTAACTATTTAGACGGCATTTTAGTAGTTACCTTGAATTTTTAATATTACTCAAAAGGTTTAAATTATTAAATTTTGAATAAAAAGTACAAACAGACTCACTTAAAATAAAATAAAAATTGGAAAATCCAAAAGTGCACACCTCGAACGGGACAGTTTACAATAGTGAAATTAAAAAGGTTTCGCAATGTAATGATTAAAATCTATGAAAAAAAAACCAGTGATAAGTTCAGTTTTCCAAAAGATATATTGTTCTTATTTTATCTTAATTTTATTTATCTTATGTTATTTTTATCTTAAAATATAACGTTACCTCCCCACTAGGATTTTCTCGTGGGGGCAGTTTACATACATAAATTTCACAAGGATAAACATCCAATTAGTTGTAGGCCATACTTGTTCCGTGCGGGATTCGAACCCGCGGCCCTTAGCGCTGCAACTCATTGCTAAGTCACTGCGCCACGGAGCCGTCAGTGTTCACATCCATACCGACCAACTGACGTCAAAGTGAAATTATTTTTAATTAACTTTTTTTTTAATATTAATCGAAATAAATATTCTTATAACTACGTCAGAAATATTAATTGAAATCTTGTAATTGATGTACTTTTTGTTATATAAGTGCAATATAAATCTGGTGGAAAAGATTTGAGTTGAGTGGATCGCGATTTTTTGATTTGGTGACAATAGAGCTTCACGGTTCAATGTGTGCATTATTAATTTGCATGTAATGTAACTTCGGAAGTTTTTGTTATACTGTCTCAGAACTGACTTGAGAAGATAGTGCAAAACATTTTTTTTGGTTTAAAATCAGTTTATATATTTTATATTTATTATTATTATTATTGAAACTTTAATTAATTATAAAACAGTTTTATTTTCCACTTATTAACTTCTGAAGTCGCCTTTTTTTTGTTATACTGTCTCAGCACTGACTTCAGAAGATGTACAAAATATTCTTTTTGTTTTAAAATCGGTTTATTGTTTTATTAATAATTAAACTTACAATAATAATTATAAATATAAAATATTATTTTATATTTATTATTATTATTGAAAGTTTAATTATTGATAAAACAGTTTTATTTTCCACTTGTTTTGAATGTTGTCTATATCTATAGACATCTCTAGAATAAAAACTGTACTACTCAGAGGCTGAACGCACGATGTCAATTAACAGTAGGTACGCGGGCAACCCGTAAACTAAAACCGTCCGAATACAATCTGGGCGTCTTCAAGGCTAGAGTGAATAGGCTTTTGTTACGCTAAGACAGTGCGATTTACCATCTAAGGCTGCATCACCATTCACCACCAGGTGGGATTGTGGTCAAGCACTGTTTAGGTATAATAAGTAAAAAAATAAAGGAGGCCTGTGCTCAGCAGGGGGCGTATAGACCGTAACTTTACTAATTTTAAACGCGTGCAACCCGGGTCGAACCCGCTGGCACTAATGCAATCGTTAATTATAATTTTAAGTGCTGATTTATCACGTGCACGACGGTAAAGGAAAACACATAGTAAGAAAATCTGCGTTTTTAAAAATAAAATGTATTCATATAATTTTTATTGAATATATATTACCTACATACAAAAATACTTATTGAAAATCATGTATGCTTTTACCACTGGTTCAGCAGAAACCCTCTGTCCTAGGAAGACCTAGCAAGAAACCCAGAGGGACTTAAATTAAATTTTTCTCTATGGGACTCTTTAAAATTTAGGTTATACATCGCCCGTACGGCTCTCTTTTGCAAAACAAATATTAATAATACATTTTGTCATATTGCCGTTTAAGGGCGTTGTAATTGTTGCCGTTAAACCAATGTACTCGAATTAACAACGAACGCTTATCCCCTGAGCCATCACGACTTAATTTACAATATAATATTTTATACAATTATAATATATTATGAAAACGTTTAGAAATAGCATGGTAGCGATCACCTCATTCCCTGGGGTTTATTATCAATCATGTACTCTTTATTCGTTTCATAACAGTTTTCTGCCGACTTCCAAAAAGGAGACGGTACTCAATTCGACTGTGTTTTTTATGTGTGTTACCTCATAACTTTTTACTGGGTAAACCGATTTCGATGATTCTTTTTTTACTTGAAAGCTGGTACTTCTTGTGTGGTCCCGTATGAATTTGATCAAGGTCAGACCAATAGTTTTTGAGTTATTTTTAATAACTTATATTGAAGTCGGCTGTACAAAATTTTAAATTTTAAATTATTGCACTCAATAAAGAATTTTATTGAGATTTTAATTGTTGTTGTTATTACTTAGTGCTAGTTGAACTGTTAATTTGTTTGTCACTCTAATTTTATAAAAAAAACTTTAACCGTAAAGTTACGCTTGGTAGGACATTTTTGTACGCATTGTTCCAATCATAGAATATGTATTATAGTATTCTATGGTTCCAATTATATTGTACTGGCGTAACGCGTCGGTCTAACTGCTTCATAACCGTTTAACAAAAAAAAAACATGCGTGAATGTCGTGGAACACTCGGTTGGCACGAAGTTCCTTTCCTAGTATATCATTATTTATAAACGTATCATATTATTGATTAACAAATACAAATAAAAGAATTACTAAGTAGTGTCTATTAAAATGTAGCGTCATTTCAAATAAAATAATATTTCTTTCATTGCTCATCATAACTTTTGATGGAATGAACTGATTTTAAGGAAATAAAGACTAAATGCGACCCGAAAATACACTTTATAATTTCCTTAACAATTCTTATGATATAAATTAGTACTTTATACGTGATACGTTAACAAACAAACAGACAGACAGACAGAAAATTCTAAAAATGGTAGAAATGTATTTAATTACTTATTTTTAGTACCCCTCAATCACTTTTATTACAAAAATATAAAATGTACAGACGTCTGCTATTTACAGTTTTATTATATAAATAGATAGAAGATAGTATTCTATGGTTCCAATTACATCGTACTGGCGCAGCGCGTCGCTCTAACTGCTTCATAACCGTTTAACAAAAAAAAATGCGTGAATGTCGTGGAACTCGCGGTTGGAACGAAGTTCCTTTCCTAGTATATTATATATTCTTATTTATAAACGCATTATATTATTGATTAACAAATACAAATAAATGAATTACTAAGTAGCGTCTATTAAAATGAAGCGTCATTACAAAAAAAAAATATTTCTTTCATGGCAAGGCAAAAAGTGCGTGGGAGATGGATATTATTTCATCTCGCTTCCTTCTTCATTCTCGCTTTCAGAAGGGGTCGTGACGGAAAAATCTTACACTTTTTCTCGCCTAGCCCCCATCCGTCAAATACGTACCATGCGATAAGGAACCTCGTTCCAAAAAAGAGGGCTGTGGGACATGGCTGACCGTTAAGTTACAGTTTACTTCACCTGAGGATGCCGCGTTTAGAGGCGTAACACGTGTATCGACGTACGGTGGTGTGTCTTTCCTAGTGGTGTTGGGAGTAGTGGTGCTGGTATTAGTAGACGAGGAGAGTGCACACAACAAGCAGGGCAGCGAGTTATATTTTATATTAATTAGATTAAAAATAAATAAACCAAACTTTTTGTTAATTTTTTGCACATATTAAAAATAATTTTAATATGTGCAAAAAATTAACAAGCAAACCACTCAGGCATTATTTTGTGTATTAATACAATACTCTAGAAACTGATAAATTTTTATTTAAAACCAACTTCACATTTAAAATTAGATTGTGTAACAAAAAACTTTACCTCAGTGTCAACTAGCGACATCTGGTGAGCGGGATATTATTAGGCCTCATTAATGGAATGCGGGAGGTGCTCTTCGAAATAGGTAAGATCCGTTATAGTATACGGATCTTGGATAGTTAATTTTTAACATCTTTAATATAATTTATTTCCGCAATTTTTTTTTATAGAATAAGGGCGACAAACTAGCACACAGTCCACCTGAAGGTAAATGGTTGCTGTGGCCCATAGACATCTACATCTATCATCGTTTGCAAATTAACTAATACACTATTAATATAGCTGCAGTATGACTCTACCACGTATAAGACAAAGTGACGTATGGTCGGTTGGTAATAGCTGATTTTCCACGGAGCAGGGAACAAGAGGGAACGCTATTTCGATGCCTTAATTTCCCTACAGATGTAGATACATTTATGAAAAAATATTTGGAGTGAGCACACTTCTATTAGAACTCTGATCACTCCGTATACTTAACGGGCGTGAGGACGTGAGCAATAGGAATACTGTAATGAAGGTGTATTGTGAGAATCTTGATAGTCCATGGGAAAATTGCACGTTATGTAAGATGCTGGAACAAT